GCAGTTTTTCCACGTCTAGTTTTACTTCCTTTATGCATCTTTCCCGTACCCTGTCACTTTGTGGTTATTTGTGCCTCTGTGCATCCCAGTTGTGAGGTCTCATTTTTTTATTTTAAGTATTTTGTATCTGTTTTGAGAATTTTCCATCTCTATGGAGATGTTTTGTATCATCTCTGCATTTTTATATCGTTTTAAATCACTTTGCATCAGTTTTGTTATTATTTTCTCTCTTTCTGTCTCATTGTGATATTTTTATCCTCGTGTCACTTTGTGATCATTTGGGCCTTTTTGTCTGCTCTGCCTTACTTTGTGTCTGCTTTTTGCATCTCTCTGCTCATTTTGCATGCAGTTGTGTAACCCAGGTTTTGTTGCTTTGCATTACTTTAGTTATTCTGCACCTTTTTTGGCTCGTTTATAGCTCTATGCAGTTTTTTGTGTCTCTAAGTAGCTCTTTGTAGCACTATAATGGATAATTTTGTGGTCACTTTTGAGTGTCGTTGTGTTTGCATTGCATCTGTTTATCTGTAGCTATTTTGCATCTTTTTGCATTAATTGTATGCCAGAAAAGTCTCTTTAATCTTCTTAGAGCAGAGGCCCAACTAGAAGAGCAAGAAAACGTGGCCTTCTTTGTCCACGCGGGAACCAGAAATCTTTGCTGGTTTAATATTAAAAGTCACTAATTGGCTGCCTTTACTGTTTAAAGCAGGGGTCCCCAATCCCAGTCCACGAGGGCCAGTGTCCCTGCAGGTTTTAGATCTCACACCTGAATCACATGATTAGTTCATTACCAGGCCTCTGGAGAACTTCAAGACATGTTGAGAAGGCAATTTATCAATTTAAATCAGCTGTGATGGATCAAGGACACATCTAAAATCTGCAGGGACACCGGCCCTCATGGACTGGGATTGGGGACCCCTGGTTTAAAGGTTCCATCCAACTTCATCCAGCAGTTTCAGGATTGATTTATTTTCATTTACTGCATATACAAGGCTTTTATATTTTAAAGTAGTATTTTTGCTTCATTTATCAAAGTTGAACTTTTTAAAAAAATATATATGAATAAATTATCTCACAATTTAGTCAAGAAAATAACTGGCTAGAAAAAAAAAACAGATTTGGGCACTTTAGTTTTTATTATTTTGATATTTTAACATCTGAAATTTAATAGTGAATAAAAATGAACAATCTGGGCCTTTTTTGTGTTTCATATAAACTAATAAAAACTTTGTTTTTTGCTTGTTTGTTTTTACCAGACACCAAAATGCTTTTTCTGCCTTACTTATGACCAATAGCTTCTATTTTATAGTTTCATTCTCACTCAGACTGGAACTCTAGTCTGCAGTAGGCCTGCATGTACGTGACTGTGTATGTTTGTCTCCACCTAGAGGTTAAATCTGGAGGCTGGAGTTTTCTGTTCAAAGTTTAACCAGCAGTTTAGTCCTGGTTACATTTTTACAGACTGTTGTCAGAGCAAGAAACAGTTTAAAGAAGACATTCAACAATCAAAGTTAAAATTTCATAAACAAACACAACAACCTGGTGCTGAATGCCCAGAAGACAGTGGAGATTATTGTGGACTTCAGGAAGCACACAGCCCCACTCCCCCCCATCATCCTGACTGACACCCCCATCACCTCTGTGGACTCATTCCGCTTCCTGGGTACCACCATCACCCAGGACCTGAAGTGGGAGCCCACCATCACCTCCGTCATCAAGAAAGCCCAGCAGAGGATGTACTTCCTGAGGCAGCTGAAGAAATTCAACCTGCCAACACGGACGATGATGCAGTTCTACACTGCAATCATCGAGTCCATCCTCACCTCCTCCATCACCGTGTGGTACGCTGGAGCCACTATCAGGGACAAACAGAGACTGCAGCGTGTTGTGCGCTCTGCTGAGAAGGTGATTGGCTGCAGACTCCCATCTCTGCAGGACCTGTACACCTCCAGGACATTGCGGCGTGCAGCTCGGATCTCAGCTGACCCTTCTCACCCTGGACACAGTCTGTTTGACCTGCTCCCCTCAGGCAGGAGGCTCCGGTCCATTCGCACCAGAACCTCTCGCCATAAGAACAGTTTCTTCCCCTCTGCTGTTGGACACATGAACAATAACCATATGACTGTTCCCACCACTAACACATGACCCTACGCTGTGTTCACTGCATCATTCCATGTTTGGCACTGATCACCACCTGCACTCATGTATATATCTTTCTACGTAGCACTCTTAATTCTTATTCTCATGTATATATCTCATGTATAGCTCATGCACATATCTTTCTACGTAGCACTTTTAATTCTTATCCCTACTTTTATTTTTTCATGTCTATTTAAGTGCTATTTATGACACTATGTTTGCACTGAAGCACCGCAGCAATTTCCTAATGTTGTAAACCTGCTCAACATTTGGCAATAAACCCCTTTCTGATTCTGATTCTGATTCTGATGTTTAAACTTAAAGGAAACACTTCTGCCTCTGCAAGGTAATTATGCAAACCTGTGCCTTCACAGTAATTTCACATCATGAATGCAGCAACTTAATTTATTAAATCTTTTTCTCTTCTCTTTTAGAAAGGTTTGCTGTTATTTCCTGATAGATTAAGAATTCCCACAGTTCAGTCAAACGCAGACTTTGTGCTGGCGAAAGAAAATTTTAAGAAGTGCGTCTGAGTAAACCCAACAGGAACAGAAACGCTGTCCTGAAGAGAAAACAACCTAGTATATCTTTCTTTTCCTGGTTAGTGTTTCTGCAGCCAGCAGCCACTTCAGCAGACAGACGTTTTTACTATATGGAGAGCCAGGAGAGCCAAACTGAATGAATTAATATTAAGACGCGTTTCCTTTATTTTGCATCAATGACAGGAACCCTCCTCTGTACAGTCATCAACACATTTTGACAGCATAACATCACCTTCAGTTTGCAGAGTCATATGTTTTAGATAAAATATATCAATCACTCCTACTTTACATAAATATTTAAATTAGGTGAAATTTAACTTTGGAGAATAGATTGCCTGCATTGCAACTCATCCTTACCTCCATAGACCCCATATTAAAACGTTTAATTTGACAGCAAAAACAAACTCGTTTGCAAAAAGGTTTTGGCCTCTATGGATATTTCCTCGCTTTATGACAACTGAAAAGGTTAGCCATTGAGCATAGTGTGGTTTATCCTCCTAACTGTAATAATCAGCATAACTCAAAAAATTAGCTTTGTTTTTACTTATTATGACTTGAAATGAATAATTGTGCCCATAAAACCACCAGAAAAATGTTGAGCAAGTCATCTGAGTAGCTCCACATTTAAAAAACAAAACAAAAAACCCACCAAACACCCTTCCTGGAGAAAAAAATTCCAAGGGATTTGCATCCCTTCTCTGGATCTCCTGCTTGTTAAACACTAGTAGTGTGCACCACCACACTGTGAACCATGTGGACAAAAAAAACAACAAAGCTGACCAGATTTGGGCGCCATCTAAGGCCTGAACTTTCACAGGGATTGCATCATTATTACAACCTTGTTTAATGCAAAGATCCACTACTGTAACACATGAGAAAATAAAAAGCCTCTCCAACAGCTGTTGGATCAAATCATGTTTATTAATGTGTTCAGGAAATCCCCACAGAAACAGTTTATAGGGGAACTTACAGATTTACAATCATTCTTGACAGAAGTGCCAGCTCTAACCCCCATGGTTCAACACTGAGGACGACCAGCTAACTGCACACCCATTCCCCTCAACAGGTCTACCACCAAGTCCTTCCAGCTCGCCGACGAGCCTCCGACAGAGTACTTACTGTGTTGGTCTTTCTGCCTGTAAACACCCAGACGTCTGGACCGTTCACAGTTATAGAGAGCCTTCATTATTTTATTTTTTATCATGGTTTGTTTTTTTTTTGGTGCCAATCCTTCATCCCGACCAGGAAGGGAAAAAAAAAAAAAAAAAAAAAGATCACACACAGCTGGATGCTTTCAGACTTTCAAAATAAATGTGCCAACCGTTGGTGAGAAGAAAAAAAACTCGTCTGAGGCCCTCGAGGATGCACTTTCTACTTCCATATACAGGATTTGTCATACTGCTCAAATGCATTTGGTTCAGCAGTCAAAGTACAAATAGAAATGCTAAAACTAGTTACAGAAAAAAAAAATGTAACATCTCTTTAAAGGAATAACATGTGACGCCTGTGAATGTATTAGGACACCTGCCTCAGTCTGAAGTGTGCGAAATGTCCAACACCTTGTATCTGGCATGGAAACACTGAAGGTCATCTCCAAAAAAAAAAAAGAAAAGAAAAGAAAAGAAAAGAAAAAAGAAAAAGGAAAATCCTAATTTAATCCCAGGATTTAAACGCCAGCAACCCAAAGTCAAGAATTGCATATTCTCGTAGAGTTTAATTTTTTAATTTTCTCTTCTTTTGTGCTTCACGCTCTCACTTAGTGGTGGGAGGGGAGAAAGGTAGTGTTCACTGGAGAACCATTGCTAAGAATAATCTTTTATATTCCAATATAATAATAATATTAATAAAACAAACAGCATGATTTTCAGATGACACCAGAATGATCAAGGATGGGATTTTCTCTTTTCTTACTTTTTTTTTTTAAATTTTCCATTTTTTGTTTTTTTTTTTTCCATTTGCTTCGACCTGATACAGGTTAAGATGCAATTTACTGAATCTCTTGGTGGGTTTGAGGTCTCAAAAATCAGATTAAAATGAACACCTAAGCACTGAAGGTGGGAGGGAGGGGGGCATTTCTAGTCAACATAGATATATTCTACAGGGAGGAGTGGGGGGTTGCACCCTTGCTCTTTCTTTGCCGTATGAAAACCGTGCTTCCTCTGAAGAGTAAGGGCGGGGCAGAACAGGGTCATGGTGGGGGGGGGGGGGCCGTGCAAGACAGATTAGGTGAGGAGGGGGGTAGGCCGAGCAGGGCAGAGACTGAGTTTGGTGGATGGAGAGAGAGAGAGAGAGAGAGAGAGAGAGAGAGAGAGAGAGAGAGAGAGAGAGAGAGAGAGAGAGAGAGAGAGAGAGAGAGAGAGAGGGGGCTTGAAAACCAGACTGCTGATTCCACAGGAGGTGTGTAAAAGGCACGCCAGGGTTACTCCCGATCCCAGCCAGCATACACAGAGACGCCTTCACACCCACACATCCACACAGGCATACACACCCACAGCCACACGCACACACACAAGCAGCACAGGCTAGAGCCCCAAGAGTACGGACGAGGAGGAAGAGAAAGCAGGAGGAAGGCGTTGAAAGAAAGAGCCAGGGCAGAGGAGTTAGAGGGGCGCAGAGGGGGGCCTGAATCCGGTGCTGCCGCTGTGTCGAAACAGAAAAAAAATAAACAACAAACAAACAAACGAAAAAATAATAATTCAAAACTGCTGGAATGGATCATTTCTGGTTCTTCAGCTGGTTGGAGAGCCAGTCGAGGCCCTCATACAAGCCGTCTCCGCTGGTGGCACAGGTGGCCTGGATGTACCAGCTGCGCTGGCGGAGGGCGTGCAGGCCCAGCTTGTCTGTGATCTCTGCAGCGTTCATGGCGTTGGGGAGATCCTAGAGGGAGAGGAAAGAGCCAGTTATGATGCAGTTCTAACCATTTTTAACCATCTGAACCAAAAATCCCACAAGCTTCCATCAACAGTAGAAAAGCTTCTGAACAATTCAGCCAATGTGAAAGTGCCTTAATCATGCACTCTCTTTAATGGCCACTAGGGGGCTACAGCAGTGGCTGAGGGGAGGACAAAAAAAAACTTCCAGTCCAATACAAGTGTTTGGGGATCGGCTCTCAGTAAAACTTTCCTGCTGAGTTTGAGTATAAGTCATTTGTTTCAGGTGATATTAAATAATCTTATTTTTATCATTCTCAGAGTCAGAGAGGAGGGTTATCCAGAATAGATGATGGTGGGGGCCAATAAACATCTAGTGATGTCATAATGCGGTGACAGATCATGGGAGTTGTTTTCACAACAGCCTGAACACTGAATGTGCTAAGGCTCATTTATTATTCATTTACTGAATGATCCTTAGTAGTAGTCGTAATACTGATTTAAATTTCATATTTCTATTAATATTTACATTTGGATTTTATTATTTTACTATAGGGATCTATTAATACACTACTTTATATTAATACAAGTTTTATTATGCTGCCGTTATTAATAGTATTATTATAGTAGTATAATTAATAGTAATGAATTCCATTTTTGAGGCCTTGAACATGCTCAAACCCTCATGAAAGTGTGCACACCTGCCAGAAGCAATGGAAAGTTTTGTATTTAATCAATTGTTGGTTCCCTCACATCCTGTACTTATACTGTGCTAAAATCTGCACACAGACCAGAAAGTCTGCAAAGACGGACCAACAACAGCCTCTCTGCAAGATTTTGAACAGAACCCCCTGCTAACTGAACACAGCCAAGCTTCAAAGGTGTGAACTTGACACAGAGCATGCAGACACAAAACACCAGATGAACATTGGAATCTACATGAACTGAGGAACCTGCCGAAACAAACGTATGACCTGTTCTGATAGGTAGATGAGACGATATCCTGTTGGTTTTTCTCCGCTGTCACTGATGTCTGTGGTTAGGTCTATTGGTTAGCACATTTAAGATTTCAACAGATCAGTAACAAAGTGGTTTGTAGTGGTTTTAGTCACGGTTCATTTAGGGAGGAAAAAAAAAGGTGTTACTTCTATTAAATCTGTCTGAGATTTATCATCATTTGCATTTTTCTTGACTGACAGAGTTCTGACAAAGAAAATGAATGAGCAGCTGTTACACAGTGAGGGGCGGTGAGGGAAACATCAGACTTCACTCTATTTTAATTAAAGTAATTGTTTTATTATCTCTTGCCAACATCATGCACATGCAGACAGCAACTTCTCAAAATGGCTCCCAATCCATTTCCTGCTCCCTTTAAATACTCTCAAGACACACCTTCTTTAAACAGACTGGCCTATAAAAGAGCTGCAATTGAGGCAGGCTTCCTCTTTACTGGGAAAACAAGATGGCCACCACAAAGGTAACCTGCAACACTTTGTTACTTAAATGCTTCCCAACAGCAGCCTAACATTTAACAAAGCTCCTTATCTAATCAATGCTTTCTTTTTCTTCTCAATACATGTGACCTACCGCAGGGCAGGTTTCAGAATAGAGAATCAATGTGCAGATGTTGATCCTGCAGTGACAGCTGTTCTTCATTGTAAAAAAATAAAAATGAAATAGCTTCTACATATGGACTGCATTCGTTTTTTAAATATTAGTTTTGTCAGGTTATTGTTTTTGGCTTATTTTTGCCAGGAGTCAAGTACAGGGCCTCAAACCAGCAACCTTCAGGTTAGTAGCAGGATGCACCAATTTATGGATTTTGTCTCCCACAATATGGCCGCCTGATATTTCTGCCTGCCCACATTAACACGGCTAGCTACACGCTCCCCAGTCCTATCTCAAAGTATATAAATCCCCGACAGGGAAACATTTAAGGTGGAAGTTCACACCATTTTGATACTTGTATTTCTGCCTCTGAACCAGCAGAGGCTTCTTTTTTTTTTAATTAAAGAAAGGTCCTGTACAAATAAAGTCTTGATCTTTATATCTGAAAGCTTTTTCATCCAAACCAATTGAGAAGTAAATTTGAGGCTCATTTCCTTTCTTGGCTCTACGTGTGTCTGAAACGCAAACTCACCTGTTTATTTGCAAAAACAAGCAGCACGGCGTCTCTGAGTTCGTCCTCAGCAAGCATTCTGGACAGTTCCTCCCTCGCCTCGTTCACCCTCTCCCTGTCGTTGCTGTCCACCACGAAGATGAGCCCTGCATACAAAAAAAATAAAAAATAAAAAATACACAGCATTAAAACAAAAAAAAAAAATGCAGAAACATGTCTTCATTTATATTCTGGTTACAATACGTGCTCTATTGTCCCAGATAAAAAGCTCTGACTCTGTTCCAGTAATAATTCAGTCTGGACCAGCTCTCCTGGCCATTTATTAATGGCCAGGAGGCATTAAAAAAAAAAAAGTATGAGTAATAATTTGTGATTTGGCAGCTGCAGGTCTGCTGACTGTGAGAATATATTAAATCCAGAAGCTGTTAAACACATCAGTCATTTGTTAAGTTCAGTACAAATTAATTTATGACTTAAAGCTGCCAAATCATTTTCAGTTGTCATAGATCATGTGAAAGCTGTATTTTGAGACAACCGACAGTTTAATGACCGTATTAAAAAAAAAGCTTCATGACACGAATGGATGGATGAAAGTACAACAGTGTTGAATGATGTTTTCCTGCTTCAAATTTAACACAAAAAATAAAGACAAAGCCAAGAAAACTGAGGTCATTTTGTTAGATGTCCTATGGCTGAAGCACACTTCCTGATCTGTATGCCAGCTTGTTTGAGGAAATGTTTCATCATACCCACAGCTCACCGAATGTACAAACATGATGTTTTTATATTCATGTAACAGGGGACGACGTGATCACATGCTCAGCTCCGGTCTATAACTGAGATACTATTTGTTTGTGAAGCTAGAATCTGTATGCAGCCTCACTGACCTGTTACATTACAGACTCTGTGAAGATGTGAAGGGCACAAAAATGAAAGGAATATCTACAAGACACAGTGATGCTGTTAATTTGGTCAGTTTGCCTGAAATTTAGGATTCTTGAGACTCAGCTGGTGTTCAGCTGAGGGATCATGATCAAGAACAGGAATGCTGGTTTTTCTTGGCTTTGAGGGTTGATTCTTTATTACGTTAAGCGATAGATAATTACGCATTTTTTAGGTTAACGCCAATCTGATATTTTGGTTAGATATTGGGTTAATTCTATCTACAGAACCTGGATCAGATATCAGAGACAAAAATCCGCTATATGGTCTGAACTATTCAGTTCTCTGTTTCTCATAGTGCAGAGGAAGCTAACAGCGAAGCGGTAACTTGGGAACATTTCACACAACACCAACCAGCAACTTTCTACTCATGTTTACTAATTATTACAAAGTTGTACAAACTCATTTTAACTCAAGATGTTCGGACAGAAAGACGTCATAAATGTGGAGGCCTGACTGAGATTTATCACTGTTTGGACTTTCTCTTCAAGTCGGGATAAAGATATCAAGCTATAATTCAGAATGGCCATTTTCATTATGTTTTTGACAGAACTGATAGAGACAATTTCAATTTTTAGATATTCTAAGCATTTCAGTTGTAATACAATAACTTTGTCTGAGCATTAAGGGCATCACAGCACCATGACACATTTGACAGAGAAAATTACGTCTCTACAGGGTAAAAACAGTCAGTGTTAAAAACCTAAAACAGTGATGGGCAGCTCCCCCCCCCCACGCCCCCAGAAGACAATACTGACTTAGATAATGTAAGAACAGGGCCATACTTTAAACAGAATTTTCTGTTAGATTGTCAAAAAAGCCACTTGCATGCTAAGAACTTTACCATTAGAGTGAAGATATAACAGGTCATCATAAAAAAAATGAAGTATCATGTGTTTTTACTTTTTTTTGTTTGTTTGTTTTTAACATTTCTTGGGGAGAGGCTAGACCATTAAGGACAGACTAGATTGAGATGGTCCACAGGCCTAATTTTGCATAGAGCCTTAATCTTTTTGCCTGGAAAAATGATGGAAAGAAAGATTTTCTGTCACCTTAATCACGAAATCATTAACCAATACTCGGCACTCTAACCCAAACACAACTTTCCTTGTTTGCTGTAGAAGAAAATTCTGTAGTCAGACATGCTGTTTGTTAAATGATGCTGCGTCTTAGATCATCACTGAAATGATTGACACATTTAGTTTCACACTTGGGTGCTCAGTATGTGGAAGGTGATGTTCATCTAATGCATGCAGGGAAACCACAGGAGCACTGATGGCAGTGCAGCAAATAAGGTGGCTTCAATCACAATAAATTTCTGCAGATTAAAGATACCACAAAATGTTCAACTTAAGTTTGCTTACAAGCCGGATCATGACTGGCAAACACAAGACAGCATAGGCTATACATTCTGATGAGTTACACATCAGGAAACAGTAGAGGAGTCACACAATACGCCCTTTGAGAATGGAACAATGGCATGTGAGTCATTGGTCTCTTTAATATCCTCTATGCACCAACGAGGCCACCTACGGGCAGTAATGCTCACTGACACAACTGCCAGCTAAGATAATGCCACTGCACACCCCCCCTTTCACCTCACCTTGAGTGTTCTGGAAGTAGTGGCGCCACAGCGGCCTGATTTTGTCCTGACCGCCCACATCCCAAACTGTGAAGCTGATGTTCTTGTATTCTACAGTTTCAACATTAAAACCTGGAAAAAGGAAAAAAAAAAAGAAAAAGAAGGAGAGGAAACATAGATGAGTCACTAAAAGGCTTTGGACCACTCGATAGCAAACACTACACGCAGGTAAAGATTTCTACATATTTTTTTTTTTCCACTGTTTGTTCCTAATATGACTTTTTTATTTTTAAAGTCAACATTTCTTGACTGCATTTTAATCAAAAAAAGGTCTTCAGTTACTCTCATTTTATCACTTATTCTTTGTTAAACCATTGTTAAAATGAAATGTCCCAAAAATCGGACATACGGAAACATCTGGCTACTGTAGACCAAAACACAGTAAACTTGGACCCTCGCAAAAAAAAAAAAAAAAAAAACCCAAAAAAAAAAAACCCCACACTAATCAAAAATTACCATAACTGCTTAAAGCTACAAAATGATTGGTCACCCTGTTGACTGGTAATGGCATTCACCTGCCTTTGTGGCCAATATTTATTACATCACTCCTGGTTAAAGACTTCAAAATAGATCAGTTAATTTTAATTATGATTTAATTACTTCCCCTGAAACAAAGTAAGAAGTAAATTGCAATAAAAAAAAAAAAGTAGATATATTATTCATAGCCCTAAGTTCCGTAACAGTGTATCCCTAGTAATTAAAACAAATTAACAGTCAAATGTTTAAAAGACCTGAAGATCTGCTGAACAGGATTTTTTTTGTCCTCTCAAATAACAATGGGAAATAACTAACAACTTACAATCTTCTCATAGCAGTCTAAAAATACAGCTTCTTTACAATGACACTGGAGTGATAGATGTAAATGTTCATACCAATGGTGGGAATGGTGGTGACTATCTCTCCGAGTTTGAGTTTATATAGGATAGTTGTTTTTCCAGCCGCATCCAGCCCCACCATTAGAATCCTCATCTCTTTTTTGCCAAACAGGCCTTTGAATAAGCTTGCAAATACATTCCCCATGGTGATGAAGCTGTCAAAGCAGAGACAGAGACAGGGTTAAGACAGTGTAAGGTCTGCTGTTAATCGGTTTCAGTGCAGTATGGTGAGAGGAAGTGAACACAGGGAAAATGTATCATAGAGAAAACAGCTGACATCTGGACTGATTTACCGTCGTTTTATCGTTAGTCAGTTCGTAGAGGCACACCACATTAGAGCAGTTCGATGACAGCTGTATATTTAGTCGAAAAAAAGAGGTACATTGTGTGACACACGGAGGAGAACAAGTTAAATGTTTACACAAACGAATGATTGAGGCTTTCGTCTACGACTCTAAGTTAAGAGCTAACTCTGGCCGTCCATATCAGCCATTAACTTCTACACTACAGAAGTGTTAAAACTGCCTATGTGTCAATTATTTAACAGCAGAAAAATCGCATATCCTGAGGCTAAGCTGTACAACCATGGATAAAGCGAATAGCTAACTGATGAAAAGATAAGAGAGGCCTGTTCCAGCTAGAAAACTCTGCAATAGCAGGTTAGGATAATGTTCCTGTACGAGTGAGCCGTCACAAGACGCTAGCTTTCAACTATAAGGTCAAGCTAAGTTAATGTTAAAGTTCATATCAGTACGTGTCAATAAAGGCTGAAACGTTCTGCTATGTGAACGCGCAGATTTTCTGTGAAAAGTCTGAAGTTTTCTGGTCTCTTTACCTGATTACCAGCACTCGAAACAGGATACAGTTCGCTTCACTAAGGGCGGATGCTTCAGCTAGATAGCTAGTTTTCCTAGCATATGCTAACTTGCGACGAACAGGCGACACCGTTCGTCAACGGTCTAAAGACCACTGCCGGTTACAGCATATATTATTAATACATATAACGACGACCTGCTACGAAATCCACCTGGAAAACTGAGGCCTGGTTTCTGTGGCGTGAACATTAAAAGAGCTGATACACGGTAGCTCGCTAAGCTAACAGCCGTTAGCTAAATGCCGCGTCACAGTTGAGAAAGAACCTCGTGACGTCATGCTCAGGCGAAACTAAATCGAATCGCTGGTACCGCGCGACAATCGCCGTACAATAAATGGCGTTACAGGCAAAACACAAGCGAGTTTATGTGGGTTATTACCTTTAAAACGACAGCTTCTCGATCTTTCCGTTATCTCTCACTGTCACCCCAAAATGGCGTCTTGCGCAACCAGGGAGACACCGGCGTACGGCCACTTCCCACTCTCATACCGCGTCCAATCGTAGCACGCATGGTGTAACGGATAACCCGCCCAGATGACGCCGCGGTCCAATCAGCGTGTCGGCAGAGCCCTGTGCGCACAGTGTACAAAATGTCGAGGAAGTGAGCCGTAGACAAGTTTATTCAAGTTTCAGACACTGAGAACCGGGCCCTCATAGTTTTTCTGTTTTTTCCCCTTTTTTAATCGACGAGAAATGACTACAGGGAAACAGAAATTGGCCACAAAAGAGACAAATAATGATAATAACGATTAAATGACATGAATAACCACAAAGACATGCAAAAAAGCATACAAGTCAAGCGGAAACGATCCATGAGATCCCCAACAAGTACATGGGGCCATGAATAAACATAAATAACCCTAAAAAGACACCAATAAATAAAAAAATCCACACATAAACACAAGGACTATAGGGAGTCAAAAAAACAAAACACAGAAACACAACATTAGAAAAATCTGTTTCTAGTTTATTGTTTTTCCTCTATGTTTGCTTGTGGTCATTTTGATTTACTTTTTGATCGTTTTTCATCTTTATGGATGTTTAATTTGCTTTTACTTTTAAGCACATTTTCTGAGTAAAACCTAGTGATCACTGGGGTCACCGAAGGCCTCTCCAGCACTCTTTCCAATTGTGTGAGAGAGGTGGAGAGTTCTAACATTTATTTGTTTAGAGGCCCGTTTTTCCATGCCGGGACTCAAGATCCTGGCTGATCCCAACTTTTAGGCCTTACTGTCCATCTCGTTCTTCATAATCTGATTAATTGCATTTTTTTTGAAGACTTGAACCAGTGAAATCCTTCCTGTGGACTCTATTGAAGAAACATCCTGACATTTCTTTTTAGATCCTGACTTATTTTAATTGTGTTAATTCAAATTGCTGACACAGAAATGCTAGCATTTATCTATTATATGATTAGTCCAAGGCTGCAGGCTATCATGAATAAATTCATTGTCTGCAAGTCTCACAACCACTGTCTTTAATCATTTATGGTTTAACTTTTAGAATGGTAATTAATCACACTTGTCAGCAGTTAACAGCACCTGATGTCTGCAATTATTATTGGCTGTGTTTGCTATTGGAGGAATGTTTAAAGAAAACTCAGAAGCTTCACATTCCTCAAGCACCAAGCTGGAAATGTGAGGCCTTATTGTAGACTGTATATAAAAGATGGGTGTAGTCATCGTAATCACCCATTGGCTAGTGAAGCGCTGGTGACTCAAGATGAGTGTTTTGTTTTTACTGTTGCCATCTTGGTATTTTGAAAAAAGTGGACACCACAGGCCAACGATTGCCATCTTATGATTAACAAGTCATGAGCCAAAGAGGAAACTTCATGTTGTTTTTCAGTATGACTTAAAATTAGCTGATTGTGCTCATAAGCACATAGCACAACCAGCTAAGACTTTACTGAGGGCACAGATCAAGGAAGGAAAAACTTCAGGAAGTGTGTTTGCATTCAAAGGAGTCGCCCCCTGCTGGTCATTAGAAAGAATGCATATTTAAGGCACTTCCACGTCAACTACACTTTCTGAAGCATATATCTTTTTACACTTTGTGGGCCTTACAGTAGCAATACATTAAAAAAAAAGTCTAATAATAAATTATTGAGCATCTTTTATTCGTAGTTTAAAGGGTTTGTAACATAACTAAAAAATGGGACTTTGTAGTGACCTTTACATCAGTGAGTCAGTTTGAATTTTCCACAAAAAGTTTAAAGATGGCTGTGCTTGTTCATGTGAACCTTGTCTGAATACCACTCTTATGTTCACAGCATTAACAGTGAGATCATCAGCTAACCTTAGGGTAGAAAGTCTGTTAATTAGCAATGTCAACAAACAGTTAACACCACACAAGGACAAAAAGCAAGCACTGGTCTGGGTTTATGGCACTTTTGCCATTGATGTCAATGAGAAGCAAGCCAAGGTTAGCCAGCTAGTTGCTATAGTCATAAAGAGTGTCGCATGTACAGTTACTTTCATTTAATAACATGAATCTCTCTTCAGTGGGAACCTCTAGCTGAACTATTTCAAATACAAATAATACAAAATTGTATATTTCATGCCCAGACAGAAACATTTTTATATTTGATATTTATCAAATACAGTTTATACTGTACAAAAACAATTTGTATAAGATCAATACCTATATTACAATTAATGAATGAACAGGATCAGGCTGAGGCGACCGTTTTCATACACCTTCCTGGTCATATGTAAGAGCCTCACGTGTTTAACAGCATCTGTTTTTATAGGGCTGGGCCTCGTTATCAGTGCTGTAAATGTTTACAGTGTGCAGCAGGTCTAATCCTGGTCTTTCTCAAATGACACCAAGTCAGAAACCACTGGGAAAGGCAATAGCTGGAAATGAGCAGAAGACAGCAACTTTTGTGCCTCTGAGTCATTTTTTATTAGAATATAAAATGTAAGACACATTCAAGTACCAAGAGATTCCAGCCTTGTTGTATATTGTGGAAAACACACATCATTTTAAGGAGCTTCATGCCATTTAAACTCTAAATGAAACAGATGACATGACAAACTCTTTCTTCCACATCAGAAAGTAAACAGAGATACAGAGAACGGATTTTTTTTGTTGTTCCTAGTGATCCATAAAAGGAAAAAAAAAAAGCAGGAGAACGGAAAGAGGGAAACAATCTTAACACACAAAATAAAAAAATACAGATGTCACAACCTATTACAGCCCTACCAACACCATTTCTTATTCAAGCACGTTTATAACCTTGGAGTGTAAACTACTTGTATCCTTACTTAAAACACATAGAAACAGTTTAACCTGAAAATCAATTTTTTTTATTTGTACACTCAAGTAGCACTTTATTAGGAACACCTGCTTGTGATAGTGGTTATTCAGTTAGCCAATCACGTGGCACCAGTGCAGCAGAAACTCTGAAGCTTCATTTACAGTGCTGTGCTGAATGGTTGACCATAATGTTTGCTTTTATTCTCGTTCCTCTGCTTTGCTCTGCTAACACCAGTGAAAACAGAGATGATCCTGTCAGAGCTCAACGTTTAGATGTCAACAACACTTTGCTGAAATGAAGGAAAGAGGTGAGCATGACAAAACTAACAGTTATTAAAACGAGGTAAACAACATATCTCCACATATTAGCTGTTGTATTTGCATAATGAGCAAGCTAGGTACATGTAAATCCCTCTTACATTTTATTTTGCAGAAATATTACTCCTGTGCTCATCAATATATTGTGTTCACACTACAGACCTAACACAGGGGCTGAGGTCTGGATTCCTACAATGTGTTGTTGGATTTCTGGTAGGGAGCGGCTCAGGCTGGGTGTAGGTTATGACATTGGTTTAACACAGCAGTATAAGCTAAGTACTGGGGTTCGGTAAGGTAACGGACATGTAAGTAGTTATTAAGTACAAATTACAGTTTATTTTTGCAGTTGATTCGGTTTGTTTGTGCATCTTTACCAGCTGTGGGACTTTGCACAACCTCAAAGTGGTCATCATTTCAGGTCTGGATCTGGGAGATTTTGAAGGGATCCTTTACCATTGTTTGAAGGATTGGATATTTTGTGTTACAGCTACAAAAATACATAAAAAATATCACACTAAAAGAACAAAAATGAGAAATTGTGTTGGGATTCCTTGAGGAAAAAAACAAAACAAAAAACGGATCCTGTGCATACTCAGTTCATGTGTGGCATGGAGGGAATTTTCAGCCTTGGTGGATCTGCAGGAATATGGAGTCTCAGACGGCTCCTGTTAATAATGTGATTCACTGGATTTAAAAACATGTAATCTAATCTAAACACAGGATGGTGAGATTCTCACATACAGTCCAGATAGCAGAAATGCAGCAAGGATCTATCGCCATGTAAAAGGTAGGTCAAAATCAGCATGAGCCAACCTGCCCAGGCTGCTGGTGTCAGTGGGATAACATGGGGAATGTTTTCTTGGTCTCTTTCTGCCAGCATATTACCAACAATCACCAGTCACACTGGAAGGAGTCATCTTCTAATGGTTCCTTCATCTTAATGTGGTTTTATGAATATGAGACTGAATTCAGACGACCTACGTCGACGTCGTCCTAACCAGCAAGTCTGAATCCAGAAGAACAACTCTGGCAACACAGGAAGTAAACTGAGGCTGTTGGGTAGCAAAGAGAGGGCCTACCTGAACCCAGTGTGGTGTTCCTAATAAAGTGCTTGATTGGTATCTTTGTTTTTCCCGTGTTTAAGCTTTTTTGCCCATTTTTCTGTCAAAATGGATTATATATGTTGAGCTATGTGTAAATGCACTGAGAAAAGTTTTAAAGTGCTTAAAAGCTTTTCCCAATGGAAAAAACAAATTAAATTAGTGCAAAAGACCAAAACAACAACAGAGAACAGAAAATATCCGTCTCATTCTCGAAGTTCGAGCTTGCCGTCTCTGACTCTCCACCTCCAGTGCTGGCATCTGTCAGGAGCAGGAACACAGCGAAGCCACAGACCAGACTCTCTGATCTCTCGTTCAAAGGACACCGTCTTCCTGTCCAGAGTCTCCAAAGTGAAGGCTTTCCCTGAGATCTGAGCGACAGGTGTAATTATTCATATGGATTCTGGCTGACTGGGTGTCAGATGTATTTGCAAAGTGGTAATGATAATTTAGTATATTTGTTCTTTCATTAGATAGTTACAGATTTAAATCTAAACTTCCCCAATTTTGTTCTTTAACTGTACTTCGGGACATTTCACTTTCTGTTCCGGAAAAAAGAAAAGAGAAAAAAAGCAAACCAAAATACACTTTGAGGAAACAAAACAGAAACCTCGGTCTGATGGCTAAAAGGTTTCTGGACATCTTAAAACTCTCTCATACCTGATCACTAATGCCTATGGCAACATGGCCCACTTTGATCCGCCTACGTTCGCGTATCCTCAAACACTTGCCCTCGGGGTCCTCTATCCAGATATCGATACCTGCAAATGTCAGAGCATTAGAAAAATTCTGCCAACAGCCCTCGATC